CCCCTCCTCGACTCCTCCATGTGCATTTCAGCTATTGGGACGTCCTTCAAAATGGCGTGTCTTGATCGATTTCCGGGTCAAGTACCGGAGGAGGGGAAGAGAGGAGTCGGAGGGGTATTGGGATGAGGCTCCAGAGTCTGCATGATGGTCAAAGCTGTCACTGTTGCCCCCTGTCGCAGTCTGCAAACTGCCTGAAGCAGGGATGCCTGTCTGCTCTCTGACAGGGTGGCACGTAGTCTGCCTGCATCGAGCAAAACCCCCAGATACCCCACCTGCTGGTGAGGTATGGAACTGCTCTTCTTCCAATTGACCGCAATCCACTTGGATCAATTGGGCTGTGTTTGCCTCTTCTCTGGACCTGGCCATGACTATGAGGTCGTATTATAAAACCCTCATGCCATGGTCGCGAAGCGGCTGAAGCGCTGTGGCCACACATTTGCTGATAGGGAGTAGCCTAACGGTAGTCTGTTGTACTCGTAGGCTACCACCCTGGAAGGCGAAACGCAAATACTTTCTGTGCTTTGGAGCAATTTTCGACATGAAAGTAAGCGTCCTTCAGGTCGATGGTTGTGAACCAATCGCCCGGCTGCCCTAATTCCAGTAATTGGTGTACATATGGAACTTTTCGCAGGCAATGTGCTGATTCAGGCTGCGAAGATCCAGAATGGGTCTGAATTCTCCTGTCTTCTTGGGAACCAGGAAGTACATGGAGTAAAGCCCCTTTTCTCCGTCCTGAGAGTGCACACTGTTGAAAGGAAACAGTAAACAGTTTGGACAGGTTGAGGACTGTGGAAAGTGAGTTGGGGTGTGCGGGGAGGTCGGTCTGGTCAGGATGTGTTGGGTAATGTGTGTCTGTGGTGTGTGCCGGGTTGGGGACTGTTTAGAAATGTATCTGTAGCTGTTGCAACCAGGTGTGAAAAATGAGTGCGGCTGATTCTGTGGACCAATGTGTCTGCTCTGGAGGTGAAAATGTCTGCCGGGATTCCTGTGAGGTGTTTGGCGTCTGTGAAGCGGTTATTGTTAATGATGACCAGGTTGGATTGCTGCTTGGGGGTTAAAAAAGGGTGATGTGGAGTCTATTTTTATATAACATTACAAGAGGGATTCTTATTATTACATGATATGCTTATTGTGCTCATGAGATGGCTATGACTATAAAATAAATAGACAAGATCACCAATCCCAAGGTTTGATGGATTGGATAGGAAAACAAATAGTCTCATAAGAAAGTTTTAGCCTGCAATAATAGAGTAGCAAGATCAGGTGCAGACACTGGCAGAATACAAAGAGTTATTCATAAACGGGACATCGCTCCCACACACAGCTAGGAAGCAGCATTATGAAGATTCCACTATATCTGCAGAAAGCTTCAGAAAAAACAAATTGCGTATGATGGCGCCAGGGAGGGACTTCCACAGGCCGGCCGAATGCTGATTGGAGGATCGTGTTGCCAAGAGACTTTTTTCTAAGTCTAAACCACGGTATCTCTTCAGCTAGTCTCAACCAATCATAAATGTACGGGCAACGCCCGGTGTAATAAAAATGTATGCACGCACAAGGTTCGAGGCTCTTGTCTGGAAATAGACTCACAGATTACAGCTTTGCTGCCTGTGATTCCCCAAGACGTGATGAGTCCTTGGCCAAGTGATATATATATTTTGCTCTCTTTACAATAAATAGTTAAACTTAGAAGTCGTTTTTCTGGAATTGTGAACACAACAGTGAGTACTGGATGTGTGGGAAGTAGAGGGTCGCTCCGGGGAAGGTATTTCTGGCAAGTTTGAAGATGGATCAGAGTTGTTTCAGGGTGGTGAGGTGGGCATCCTGTTCCCTGTTGTTGAGTCCAACAGAAAGGATGACTATTTGAGCTGTAGGGATGCTGTAGGGATGCCTGCCCCAGAGCTTTAGCTCTGGGCTGGGGTAACTGTCCATTTGTATGTGGGGATGGGTATGTAGTGGGATTCTAGAGAGATTGTAATCCCCATGTATGAGTATGGGTTTTGTGCAGAACACTTCTTCTTCTTCTCTTTAATGGTGAATCGCTTCCACTTGGAGCATATATCGCCACCTACTGTTGAGTTATAATGTTCATATTAAATCCTTGTCCTCAGACCAGTGCTTTTGAGGAACTTGAAGATCAGCTTGTTTGCTTCATTTCTTGAGTTACTTTCGTATATTGACTTGAAATCCATGTCCTTGACGTTGAGTTGTTCCAGTGCAGTTTTCAGAATGAGTCTTTGCCTTGTATATTCCGGGCAGCTAAAAAATACATGATGTATTGTCTCTGGTTGTTGGCAACCATCACAATTGCCATTTGGATGTTTTCCAATCAGATGTAGTGATGAGTTTAATCCAGAGTGTACCAATGTTATCCTGCTGTTAATGCTCTGTTCTCTTCTACTACTCCCCCGAGTACTTTCCGTTCCCACTTCCCTTTGTATCTGGTATAAATGTCTTCCTTTAGTGTTACTGTCCCATAGGTTTTGCCATTGTTGGTTGATAACCACTTTTGTAACAGATTTGACTTCTGCTCTACTGATGGGTTCCATTATATCAATCTGGTTTGCTTTCAAACCACATTTTGCCAGTTGATCCACTACCTCATTCCCTCTAATACCCACATGCGCTGGAACCCACACAAATTGAACAACAATTCCCAGATGAACTAACCTAAACATGATGTGTAAAATGTCATGTCAAATATCCTGACGACATTCTGAAGAGAAGTTGTTTATACTCTCCAGAGCTGCGCTGGAGTCAGAGCAAATGAACACTCGCATTGGCTGTGTTTCCTCTACCCCAGGGGTCGGCAACAGGCGGACCGCGGTCCGGATCCGGACCCAGACGCCGACCTATACGGACCCGGAGCTATAATTAATACATTAATATGGGATTTTTCGGCGCCTCCCGCTTTTTTAACGCTGATTTGGGTGACTTGTGTAATTCGTGGAGAACCGAAGAGTTTTCGTTTTGGGGGTGGGGGGAGTCCGTCCGTCAGTCCGACTGACGGACAACTTCTCACTTCAAAAAAGAAGAAGAAATCTAGACCGCAAAAATAATTAAACAAGTGAGTATCTGTTTTTCCTGGCCAAGGACAGGTTCCTTGAACACAACACGAGCGTAACGTGTTTTCACGTGGTATGTCTCGTCTGAAAGGAGTGCTGACAGAGAGCACCGGAACGCCGCTCCAGCCCTTCAAATATTGCAGTACCCATAAGGAGCCGTACACATGCCACAGTGTTTACGTGGCTGTGTCTTTAGTTGTAAGCACAGTGGCGATCTGTTGTTTTTAGCATCTGGTTAGCTAGCTATGCTAACGAATTTAAAGAGCTTTTCTACAACCAGGTGGAAGAGAGCTCTCTCCTGAGAGGCTCAAATAACCTCAGCTCAGTGAGGTTAAGGCACACCTTGATATGATCATTATAGTTATTAATGAGACTAAATGAAAAACAGGTATAAAATACTATATGACAGTAACAAAAAAGTTGTTAAAAATAACAAGAATAGAGTTTAAAAGGGGAGTGATTTGTAAAATATCCAAAAAGAAAAATATGCTTACAGTTCTGTTTCATATGGGTGTTGAGAGATGTATCCATAGATCTCTTAATGTTGCTCTCAAAGTGCACCAGATTGATGCTTTTAACTTCAATATTTAAGTTTAAAATAGACTCATAATCAACTCAAATTCAAACTCGTCAGGTTTATTGTGCTCCCTTCATTTCTCTACAAAGTACAAATGTAAAAAAAATTTTTTTGCCACTTAGTCTACAAATGACTTATGACATCAACTACAGTGAACTACTACAAAGTTCAAACATTTATTTCATTTACCAAACTAAAGTAACCAAACAGTCCCTGAGCTGACTGAGCCTAAATCCCTAAAACTTTGCTGAAAGGCCTTGCATTAGCCTTGCATTAGGTACATTGTTTTGCTCCCCGCACAAGAAAAGATGACGCTGAATAAACGCCCTAGTCGGCTAGTCGGACCGATGCTACTACTAGTATATCTTGCTATAATGCTAAGAATGCCAATTTTTTACAAGCCTATTTCCTGAACTGAAAATCCTCCAAAAAGTATTATTCAGCTTACCTCGATCGTTGTTATTTTGGTCGCCAAACATCGCCGCCAATGTGGCTGAGGCCGCATGTGGAGTAGTTTCTATTTTGTGGTTTCTCCTCAAGTGCCTCGCTATGTTCGATGTTCCCCCAGCGCACTTGATCACGTTCCCGCACAGGTTATAACTTCGCAGTATCAAGCGGCAGTTTCGTCACATGGTCCCACACCTTACTGGATTTAAAGCCCCGCGGCATTGTGTTTACATGACCCGGGCCGTGACGCCGTATACCAAACAAAGGAGTTAGCTACACCATAGATATATATAAACATGTTTATATATATATCTATGAGCTACACTACCAAATATCCAATATGGCGACCAGCAGCCCACGTTGTCCACTATGTCTAAGCCAATCACATCGCTAGCTTCCCTTGACGTCACACAGATCTCGCGAGCAGTTGCGATATTTTGCGAGACTTCGTGAGTTCAGTAATGGCCGCCATATCAGAAGCCGACACGATTTTTTTCCGTCTTTTCTCAGCGCAAATTTCTCGATCTATGGAAGGTTTTAGATGGTTTAGAACAAAAAGGAGAATATACGTAAGTGCTAGTTGTTTTTGAATTGTACTTTCTTTATTTGATTGGCAGTCAGTTGTTGATTACATGCAGACGTTGATAAAGCTACAGGTCACTTCAATATATATCACACTAATTCATGAAGCAAGTTAGACATTTTGATGTTCTGGACCTTTGCATGGGGAGATTTTCTCTAACTGGACCTCGTTGAATTTTAGTTGAAGACCCCTGCTCTACCCACTGAAGGGCTAGTGAGATAGCCATCATCTCTACTGTGTATACTGCAATGTGATCACTTGCTCGCTTTCCCACTTTGACCTTTAATTCAGGAACATAAAATGCACAACTACACAGCAAAATCAAAAGTGTTATATTTTCAGTGTTGGAGTTGGAAATTTAAATATAGAGTTGTTTCAACTCATTTTAAGTGTCATTCAACTCCAAGATAGTTATTATTCAAAACGAGTTGGTGTTGAAACAGGGAGTCAATTGTTGAATTCTCCAAACAACTCTAGAGTGTTGATTTAATTACATAGCCAGTGTTACAATCTCTCTTTCTGTGGATCACTGGCTGTTGCTCTGTTGGGTGTGGCCGTGACTGTGAATGTGTGTGCGCGCAGTCGAGGCGGGAGACCAAATCGGAGGAGCATACCACCACATTCTATTTGGAGGATAAACTGACCAAAGTGTAAGTAAATGTTTCGAACCAGTAGCCTAGTACAGGTATTTATTTATTTAGCTGAACAGCGCTTACCTTCAGCTACATAAATATTAATTATTTTACATTGACTGCTGTCTTCGCTCCACATGCTAGTAATATGTGCTGCTATCATTAGCCAGGGGTGTTTAGCCTAACATCTTTTTAATATCATTACAAAGTCTGTTATTGGGGCGTTTAGCTCCATGTGTTAGTATATTAGCTGCTATTGTTAGCCGCGGGTTGTAAGCTTAAAGTGTTAGTAAGTTTAGCTGCTATAAGTAAAGCTAAACACCTGCGGCTAACGATAGCAACTCATATTAACAGGTGGAGCTAAACGCCATAGTAGCTAATATTACTAACTAACACGTGGAGGTAAACACCTGTGACCAACAATAGTAGCTCCTGCAATATGAATTAGATGTGAGGCTAATATATGCTACTTTAATATATATTACTAACATGTGAAGCTAAACACCCAAGGCTAACGATAGCAGCTAATAGCTCAACTTGTCAGTCATATTAGCTGATATCGTTAGCCACGGGTTTTTAGCTCCACGTGTTAGCATGTTCAGCTCCACATGTCAGTAATACTGCTATCGTTAGCCACTGGTGTTGAGCTCCACTGTTAGCATTTTGCTAAATTATTTCAACGACACTTAAATGCATAATTATATTTTTGTAGCAACAGGTCTGTTAGATATTTCTGTAATATGTTTGCTAATACATTTGTATTCTTATAGGACACCATGTTGGTGAAAGTAAGATATGGCGAAAGCCAGAAATATGTGAAAGTGGCTGAGACTGAAGAAGGCTATGAAAGCTACAGTACATTTCTTCAGAAAGGTATGGATAACTTGAATACATATCACTGATTGTTTGAGTCTAAGAAATGAATCTTGTTTTAGTTAAACGTACCAATATTGTCAGGTGGTACATTTCAATATTCTCTCTCAGTCATAGAAAAGTTAGGTTTACCACTACAGAGTGAGCTGCACTTGACTGATGAATCAGGGACAGAGGTGGATGCAGATGTCTTTGAAGAGCTTTTACAAGCAGGGAACCTTACAGTCAAAGTGTCCACAGGACAGTCTTCAGGTAAGATTCAGACTCGCAATGGAAAATCAGGGACCCATCCCTACTGAGTTTTTGCTGAGATTACCCTGTAACATCGTTTGGAGGGCTGAAAGTATGTTTTTTTTCTTCTTTCATTGAGTATGTCATTCTTTTATCTATCTTGCAGTTGTGCTTCAAAATGTATCGCACACTTTGCTGGAGTCGGACCTTTCAGACACCTCATTCTCCGTGACCAATGCTTCATCCTCTGCGGTGTCTGATTCATCAGATGCAAGAATAGTTCTTGAGAGAGACAGTGGAGTGAAAAGAGTCCACGCTGATCGGGAATCAGCCAAAGAGGTACAGGGGACTACACTTTTGCAATTTACTCAGTTCTTTATTAATCATTAAACATGGATATATTGGGCAGATAACCTATGATTTGTATGGAATGCCCAAGATAATGACTTCCCATATGATTATTCTTTATCTTCTAGATCAGGGGTGCCCAACCGGTCGATCGCGGGGAGATTCCCAGTCGATCGCAAGATGTGTCTAAAAATAGAACAACAATATTCTGTTTTATCGTTAATGTCCTGTAACATAATCTTCCTGTGCCAGAATAATGCACTTGAACGCATCAGTAGTTATACACATACCACTTCAATCTCATTAGTATGCATAGAAAGTGACAGGTCACACCTCTCCCTACTTATTAAGCCCCGCCCACTTCCGACTAAACCCCGCCCACTTCCGGCTAAGCCCCTCCATAAGCCCCGCCCCTTCCGCCGGAAGTCCCGCCCCCACTTCCGGTTTTTCAAAAATAAAATTAAAAAATATTTTAAAAATGATAAAAATAAAAATGCTGCCCCTACCGGTCACCCCCACTTCCGGTTTTTCAAAATAAAATTAAAAAATATTTTAAAAATGATAAAAATAAAAATGCTGCCCCTACCGGTCACCCCCACTTCCGGTTTTTCAAAATAAAATTAAAAAATATTTTAAAAATGATAAAAATAAAAATGCTGCCCCTACCGGTCGCCCCCGCTTCCGGTTTTCAAAATAAAATAACATGAAATGTAACAACCATATATTTTAAAAGTAATGTCTCAGCTCTAAAGAGCAAGGTCCCGCCACCTAACCACTTCCTGTGCCCCTGTATACAGCAGTATTGACTGTAACTTACAAATACTTGCAAATAACATGAAATATACAACCATATATTTTAAAAGTAATGTCTCAGCTCTAAAGAGCAAGGTCCCGCCACCTAACCACTTCCTGTGCCCCTGTATACAGCAGTATTGACTGTAACTTACAAATACTTGCAAATAACATGAAATATACAACCATATATTTGTAAAAGTACTGTCAATCTCACTAACTCTCTCTCGCTCTCTGCTATTCTCTGCCGTGAAAAGTTTGATGAACAGTCAAGACAGGTGTGGGGACCATAAAACCCCCCGACATCCTCTGCGGGGCAAATGGTGTGTGTGTGTGTGTGTGTGTGTGTGTGTGTGTGTGTGTGTGTGTGTGTGTGTGTGTGTGAGGAGACGGTCTGAGGCTGCTAATTACAAAAGTCTCCGAATTCAGGACAGATGGTCAGAGCAAAACAGAGAAAGCAGTTACATTATTTTCTCATGTAACTATCTACATGTTTTTTTTTGTAATGTGTATGCGTATATATGTATATATATAAATATATATATATATATATATATATATATATACACATATACACGCATACATATATACAGGAGAATAGCCTAAAATAAAAAAGTATTTGCTCTACCATAAAAAACCAAATACAATATAATGCTAATTTGTTAAACAATCAGGAATAACCCCATTGGTTGTTTTTAGAATCATTTACATATTGTGGTCTATAAGTAACCCCGAAAACATCTAGGCAGCCTCTCGTCGCTTTTCCCCGTCAAGGCCCAGATATTTTGAAAATATATGGTAAGTACTTTTATTTTTTATGTTATAATAGCATATAGTTAGTTAATGCTGCTTGATGTGTGTGTGTGTGTGTGTGTGTGTGTGTGTGTGTGTGTGTGTGTGTGTGTGTGTGTGTGTGTGTGTGTGTTAAATAACCTCTATGCATCTGTGTTTTTCTATTATGTAATTATTTAGAAGCTTTAATGAAGTATCGTTCTAAGTACAAATAATGTGGTGTACATTTTTTTTACTATAAGTGTATTTAGCTATATTTCTTAAAAATTAAATATGTTCTTTCAGGTGTAAGTATCCAGAATAACGTACTCACTTGTTCTAAAAAGGTGGTGCAACCCCTCCGGCGGCCTGCATGGTCTCAGCTCAGCGCAGATCTGTTCAACAAGTCATCTCAACACAGACGGTGTTTTTGACAATTCAAACCTACCAGGTAAAAAATGCTTTTTTAGGTGTGCTTATACAAAAGATGATAGCTAAATGATTTTGTTTTGGAGTATTTTAAAAAACATGCTTATACCCTCTTCTTTTCTTTTCTTTTATAGAGCAATTGAAGGGGAGGACCCCGTTATCAAAAGGACAAACGCTGTTTGTTAAGGTCTGCTTTAAGGCCACACCATCTGAATAAGCTACACGTAGATCACATGTAAAACTGTTATTGATGTATCCGCCAGGTATGTTGACTTTACGTCCATGAATGTAGAAGCAAAGTGAAATGTTTCTTCAGCGGTGCCACTGATTTTTTTTGTTTTTATGTTTTGTTTTTTTTTGCGGGGGTGATTTCTTAAAAACGGTCAAGCATGGATGATTTAAAAGACGACGAAAAGTCCTTCATCGAGGGTTTACCTGATGTAAATGAACTATGCAGTGGTGAGGGCTTTGTGTACGAAGACATGTCATTTCCACAGTGGTCAGACAGTAACAGTGAGCTAAATGACACAATAACAGATGTACGCGAGCCTACGCCCTTGACAGAAACAAGCCCCTATACAGATGGAGAAAGGTCCTTTCTGCATGTATTACCGGATGTAAACGAATTGTGCAGTGATGATGATGATGAATTCAGATATAGGGACCTGTCATTTCCGCAGTGTTCAGGCAGCAACAGTGAGTTAAATGACGAGGGGTCAGCTGTAAACGAGCCCGCGGCCTTGTCAGAAACAAATTCAAGCAGTCCAACAAAAACATTAGGCGGTGCCTTGGATTGGGTGATAGACTGCTATGCAGACCGAGGGCTTTTAGAGCAGCCTCTAGACAATGCCCGCCGTCTGGATGGACAAAATAGCGAAGCTTCGCCCCACGCCTGCCTCCCCGTTTCCAGCATGCAAGATGACGGGTGTGTTAATGACAGCTCGAATGACTCAGAATCACCCGCTTGCTCCATGCAAAGTAACAGACATGTTGATCAGAATGACACCCCGAATGCTTCGGAATCACCGGGCCCCCTGTCACAGTATGGAGGAGGAGGAGGAGGAGGAGGCACTAGCAGAGATGCCGAGCCAAGTGTTATCTCTCGACCTGTATTCGGTAACATAGAAATGAGACAGTCTCTAGTCCTACCGCCTATTGGGGGTGAAGCAGACTTTGGAGTCTATTTTCAGGGTCTGATGAACAATGTGCATAACATGCGTGCACATGCTTTTGCACGGGCAGAAAGAGAAGATATCATACAAATTGAGTTACGTGGTGAAGAACTAAGGGTTAATGTATCAGCCATTTTAAATGGTCCCGATGATAATCTGGATGATTTTGAGGAGGGGCTGTTCAAAGCCATGCAATCGAATATCATGGTAATGGCAGAAGGCAACATGGAGCTCGTGGTTCAAATTGTTCAGGCCCCCCGTGGGGGGGTTCAGGGTAAACGGATGATTAGTAAAATGTTAGACAGTGAGATTGTTAAAAAGAAGGCGCGTTTTCTTTACGTTGTTCAGAACTCCTCCAACCAGCTGTGTTTTGCTATTAATTTAGCACTGTTGTTACACGATAACCTCACTGATAATGAGGGGGTCAAGCGCGGTAAAGAGATCCAGAATATGGCGGGTTTGACAGCTCATACAGCTGTGACATTCAGCGACATTGATAAATTCGAAGACAGCTTAAACTGTAAGATAGTGGTTTTTTACCGAAACGGTGACGACCGAACCCTTTGTAAATTTCAGACAGACGCCCCCAAACGAGACAAAACTGTGTTTCTGTTCCTCCTACACAACCATTACTATGGTGTGAAGAACTTGAAGGGGTTTTTAGGCTCTCCGTATGTCTGTGAGCATTGCTATACAGGGTACAGTTCTCAATGGAGTCACTCCTGTACTGGGCATTGCTATGTCTGCCTTGACCCTGCATGCACCCTGGCAGAGTTTAAACCCATCTTTTGTAAAGACTGCAACAAAACATGCCGTACAGTCGGCTGTCATTCTCGACATAAAGAGCAGAAACAGAGATCAACAGACATTGCCAGTAACTGTGATTTACACAAAAAAGTGTGCAGATTGCCAACTTTCTTACTACACCCCCAAGAGTAAAGCAGATAAAACACACAAGTGTGTGACGAAAAAATGTAGGACATGCAAGGAAAAATTACCATCTACTTCTACGCTCGGGTGTGAAAAACATTTGTGTTACATAGGAGTGCAGCCTAAAGAGACAGAACACAATGACAACATTGTGTTTTATGATTTTGAAACAATGGCGGGGGCAGATGGGGTACATATACCTTTCTTGGTTTGTACAAAAACCTTGGGGGGTGAAATTTGGGTCGGCGAAGGAATCGACTGTGCACGGCAGTTTCTGGCACACTTTAGGAGCCCAAAGTTCAAGAATGCAACATTCATCGCGCACAATGCTAAGGGTTTTGACAGCTATTTCATTATCAACGCAATGGTTGCACAGGGGCTAAAGCCCCCGTTAACAATGCAGGGAAGTAAAGTGATCTCTTTTACTGACGAGGATTTCGGCCACAGGTACATAGACTCACTGTCTTATCTGTCTATGCGTTTAGCAGACATGCCAAAAGCTTTGGGGTTTGGAGATAAAATCAAGGGGTACTTCCCTCACGGTTTCAGCTCCGAGGCTAACCTGAGTTATATAGGCCCTTATCCACCCGCACGCTGTTATGGGGTTGAACGCATGACAACTGGTGAAAAGAGTGACTTTCTCACGTGGTATGAGACGGTACGCCGGGGCATTTTTGACTTTAGAGAGCAGGCATTGCTTTACTGCAAAAACGATGTGGCCATTCTTGCCCAGGGGGCCGCATTATTTCGGAAAGGTTTTCTCGGGGAGACAGGAGTTGATCCTTTTAGTCGTGCGACTATAGCTTCTGCCTGTATGAAAGTTTTTACCACAAACTTTCTAACGCCCAAAACATTGGCAATCCCCCCACCCGACGACTACCGCCGTGAAAACAAGAC